CATTCGGAAATATCCTCTCAAATGCCACTGTGTTATGAATCATTTGTTTCTGCTGGTGGGGTGCCATTTCTATTATTATCTACTAGCCATATGACGATATTAGAAAAGACTGCTCCTATATGATCACGATCCATAATGTTCTTCTAGATATAAAATGAAAAATATAATACTTGTTTATGTTATGGTAATGAGTAAGCATCCTTTTAGCTTTGTTATTTTCAATTATGGCACCCATACAAAAGTCCTGCATTTGTTTCACGCTCGATGTTAGCGCATTATTCACAGTTGGAGGATAAAGATGCTGTTGTTGTGAATCTGAGGGATGAGCAACAGGTGACTCATTCAGTGCTGTGATTATGTGACAACTGACACAATCTGAATGGCACAAAATTTAATAATGTGTCAGAACAATTTTGGCTTGATGTCTAGGGATTTTCACAGCTTCCATAGAGGTTAAATGGGCCTATATATTTGACAGCACTGTGCAATAGGTTTAATGAGTGTGAATGGGGCTGGTAAAATATCTAGAAAGGTCAGTAATGAAACAAAGTCTGAATCAAAATTCTGACTCATCATGTTGTAGTAAAACGAATTATGTGGCTTTTGAGATAAAACACCAACTAATGCCTAAAATGTTTGCAGTGTTGTCAGATTACAAAATATGAAATCAAAATATATTCAGCCCCAATTGTCTATTTTATAAGATCAATCATTTGAGAGTTGTGATGATTTTGGGGTAAAATACTCTACTACTACGTGTTTTGCAGTGTTTCTTTACATATATATATATATATATATATATATATATTTTTTTTTTTTTTTTCACACAAATTGAAAAAAATTATCTAGGATTTTTGTTACATAGTAATATCCTCATACCCATACCATAAGTATACACATACACGCAGATGTACATACATATACACGCACTTAAAAAAAAATTGAATTAAATAAATCAAAATTAACATTGTAGCGTAGAACCAGGGTGTGCTTTAAAACATTACTATATACAGTACTATATATTATGCCAAAGACTTATTTCTAAACAGACTGCTAAGCCTGTTACATATTTCTAATTGGAGCCTCTTAGTCTTGCATGTTATCTTTAAATAGTGATTTGAGAAAACAAGTTCACAATCAGATAGCTGGAAAAAATGAGCGTGGGACAAATGCCTTGAAATTGCTGGGTGAGGCCTTATGGAATGAAATCTAGTATTTTGAGCACTGGCGGGGCGAGAAAGATCCAACATGTCTGCCCATGCTGCTGTGGCCAGTTGCCAAATGTATTATCAGAACCAGTGAGTGACAAGCGTAATAGGACGTTAGGAACGAGTAACTATGTGTTGCAAATTTTAACAAGTCACAAGTTCATGTTGTCTTATTGCAGAATGGCATGAAAAAGACAAAGAAAACATCATTTTTAATTGTGTTATTTAATATTTTTTGCAGATATAACCAACCGCAAATCCGTTCCTGGTCTTTCTCTCAAGCGGTATGTATTTTGTCATTTGCACAAACACGATTCATCATACATGCATACATATTGGATGTGGTGATTCACTATATTTATACACATAAGCATAAGAACTTGGCATCAACTGCACAATGTTAGGAATGCCCTCATGGCTTCAATCTTCGTAGGAGGAAGAAGTCAAGCTGCTCCAAAGTAGCTCCATTATTTTTCATACAGCGATATAGGACAACATATTTTTCTACTTACTGTTTAACTAAGTGGGCTTTACAAAGGGTTGGGTTTTACAATGAAAAACGCGCATTAACACAGTATCTATAGGCTTTTGTTGTTATTGCGGAAAGGGAGTGGAGACACGTGCGCATATTGTACACACATGCTGTTCCGCTCCAGCATGAGTTACTGTCAATCCACCGGGGTCAGGAGATTAGGCACATAGAGGCCGGCCATGTTTGAACTGATTTATGGTTCAAGGGCACAGTGTTGTGGTGACAAACAAGAAAACCCTGACCCCAATGCCAGACATGATATGGAATCCAAGATGCAATACAAAGCCAACAGAAATGGTTTATGAGCTAAATGTATTCACGGGTGAACTCTGGAGTCATCACTAGCAGCTACTGAAATAGGAAAGAGAGTGATGAGAATGATACAGTATATGAGACTGTACAACAGAGGTGGGACTAGGTCTTTATTTTGCAAGTCTCAAGTAAGTCTCAAGTCTTTGACCTCAAGTCCGAGTCAAGTCCCAAGTAAAAGACAGGCAAGTCCAAGTCGAGTCTCGAGTCACCGGCCCATAAATCCAAGTCAAGTCCAAGTTGTCTGCTTTGAGCTTCGACTCATTTCAAGTCTTTAAACCAAAATACCAAATATAGCTTAGAATTTTGCAATTTATATGCATTTTTAAAATTGTACTTTAAAAAAATCATAGTATATTTATATAAGAGTATTTATATAGTATATAAGAGTTGTACAAATTTAGTTATTTTTTCCTTTTAAAGTGTCTTGACAATATCTTAGTGTGAATCAATACAGTCAGAATAGAAAGAATTCAGATTTAAAAGTGCTTCAAATCTTCTCAAGTCACAGACCTCAAGTTAGAGTCAAGTCCCAAGTCACTGACCTTCAAGTCCAAGTCGAGTCTTAGTCCATTTTATCAAGTCAAGTCTCAAGTCTGACTTGAGTCCAAGTCACAACTTGCAAGTCCCCACCTCTGCTGTACAACGATAACTGACCACACCCTTGTACCTAATAAAGTCCTTGGTTTCAATGATATTACTATTAACCCTAAAATATGTTGATAAATTGTTTTATGGAAATGTTTAGAAAGTTTGGATACTACATAGACTATACAAAATCATACAAAGAAATCTATTTTTAATCCTGCATTTGAGGAGAAATAATGAAAAGCTATATTTAGCATTAATATTTGATTCTGGATTGATTTTTCTTCAACCAATCACATATTTCCAGCAACACTGAATTATATCACTATTTAAATGATTTTTTTTTTTTTCCAGTGAATTTTACCACTGCATATCATGATTAGTTGAATCAATTCCCAAGCACCAGAACCATCAGAACACTTGTTGAAAGTATTTAATAATTTGCCCACTAAGTGTATTCTTTCCAGTCCCATACCCATCCCCCTTTAACCCAGTGTGAGATTCCTCTGCCAAATAATGGACACACTGTTTAGCTCTTCTCCCCATTCTCTCCCCACACACAGTTTCAGATGGAGAGATGCTTGGCGAGGGTGGGGTACGGGGGGCGTTAGCTAAGTACCGTGACAATTCTCAGCATGGATCCTAATGGAAGAGGGGCAGGACAATGGTGTAACCAATTTTCAGTTCTCAGACTTATGGTCGGGGCCTTTGACTTGGCTTGCACCCGGGATTACCTCACTTCCCCCAAGACCAACAGTATATGATTGTCCCTCTAAAATTATATGCTGCATTAACCCAAAATGGTGTGTTTAATTGACATGTTAAAAGAGCTATCCTGGCATTGTGAATGGGTAGGGTTTGGGGACTATGGTTGCAGGGGACCCTTCATATTTGCCTGTGTACACGTGTTAAGACGGATAATGGAAAAGTGGGAATGGAATGAAAGCTATGATAATACAGGACTCAGGAATGTGTGTGTTACTGCTATACAAGTACATGCACACTAACGCCTGAAGTTTCAAGCCAGTGCAGATAAAATGTTATGACTAGGGACTGCACACCCAGCTCCCTGCTAAAGATGGCAACAGAGATGACAGTGAGATTTGAGATGCACATTTTGTGACAGGAATCAGAATTTTCTATCATAACATAAAACCAATATTTGTTCACGTGTGTTTCTCCATCCAACAAGGAGAAAATTAATTATCAAGCCTGGAGTCAGCATTTACAAGATAACCGCAGATTTATCAATGATAAGGCACAGTGCATTTTAATTGTTTCCCCTGGATTAGGACAAGTAAGATTCACATAGGTCATAAAATGGGACCCAATGACCATAACAATAAGCAGAGATGGGGACCTGCAAGTCGTGACTTGGACTCGAGTCAGACTCGAGTCACTATTTTTAGGACTTAAGACTTGACTTGATAAAATGGACCAAGATTTGGTACTTGACTTGGACTTGAAGGTCAGTGACTTGGGACTTGACTAGGACTTGAGAAGACTTGATGCTTGTCCTAAAAAATATATGTTTTTAGGAAATACTTTTTTCTTTTCAGTTGATAAATTTTAAAGGAGCTAACTGGAACATGTTCCTCCCTCTTCTCTGTTACTTTGAATGTAACTGAAGTACTGTGATATGGTATCCTCAAATGTACTACAGTAATATACAGTACAATACAGTAAAACAGAGGGAACTATATAGAACGTGCACCTAGCATTTCAGTGCAGACTACATGACAAAATTATTATTATTAAGCACTTTTAAATCTGAATTCTTTCTATCTGACCATAATGATTCACACTAAGATCTTGTCCAGCCGTTTAAAAAGGAAAAACTTACAGTTCTAAAACTCGTATATAAATTCTCATACATAAATGCACCATGACTTTTTAAGTACAGTTTAGTTTAAAATTCATAAAAATTGCAAAAATCTAAGCTTGGTGTAAAGACTTGAAATTATTTGAAGCTCAAAACAGATGACTTGGACTTGACTTGGACTTATGGGCCAGACACGCTCGACACTCGACTTGAGACTCGACTTGAGACTCGACTTGAGACTCGACTTGAGACTCGACTTGAGACTTGCAAAACAATGTGTCCCGGTAATAAAGACAGTATTGATGTTACCTTGAGGGAATCCCTGTGTTTATTTTTGCCTGGCCAGACAGACTTTTACAGTACTTCTTAAAAGAAATAGGGACTTTCTCGCCTTTTTTTTTTTTTTTTTTAACAACGTGTCGTTAGCCGTTAGACGGCTACACTACAGAGGAAGCGGTGCAAATAGCATGGAAGAACCACAGTGACACCTACCGACCGTGTTCTGTAAGTACTTGCATATGGTGCCAATTCGTTTGAGCAGCAAATCAAATGTTATTTCGAAAACACTTCAAACTTTTTAATTTGTTAAATGTCGCCAAGCGCTTAATTTGAATAAAACCAAGACGTCCCTATCTTTTAAAATGTAAAATAGAAAACACCCATTCAGAAAGCCCTGGGTTCACCTGAAACCGCCACAGCCGCGCTTTTCTGTTGGACATGTTTGCCAGAATTTGGTCAGATTTTGAGCAGAAATGTCGTGAGAAATTACAGTCACTGCGTTTGTGGTGGAAGGTAAGGCGTCTGTGCTTTTGATACCTCATTTCAAAACTTTATCAGCATTTTCTGGAATAAATGAAGTCGCATTTTAGCTCTACATGTTTGATGTGAAACACAGGTGTCCAACGTAGGCGAACTGCTTACTCCGGAAGACGCACCGAGGTTTGTGCAAAACTGTTGTGGCTGCACAGCAATTCGATTTTTCACTTGGCTAACTTTCAGAAAGGATTCCAAATTTGCAGCAGATCTTAAAGCAACTTAAAATAATGCATCTAAATTTGCCACTGTATACATATTGGGCAGGTTATTTCATTTGCCTCATCTGTGCACTTCCAAATGCAATGCTTTTTCTTGTTTCAACTATGCATATGCTTTACAGACTACATCCCCGTTATTTTCCTAACATTGAAACTATTATAAAATTGTGTTTTGGGTCAAATGTATTGGTGCTTTGATTAAAAAAAGGAACCTGTGTACTCAGAGGAAGTTAGTCAATGGCTGTGGTGATTTCACAATAACAAGCAGTAGTATTTAAAGTCAAAGGACAATGCTGCTTTATTGGAAATCTTTACATTTTTGGACATGTGCACATTATAGAAGACGTCTGTAAAAGGAACCATTGCAGTCAGATTAGATAGGTGTGGCTATATTCAACTAATTAGGTAATATTAGATTTTTACTCAGTTTAAGGTAATTGCCATTTCACATTCTACAGTTTTCTGCACAATTCAGAGGAAATTATGTTGAGAAACCTCTGATGTGTCCTCTAATGCGTGTATGTGATGTCAGAGCTTCCTGTCACAGCAATTTGGAAAAAAAATCTTGTTTTCTTCTCATTAATGCAGAATGCTTACCTCACCAGACCTCTGAGCTGAAACTGTCCTTTGTTTTCCTTCAACAGGCTGCCTTCCCCATATCTGTGTCCGCGCCTATGGCTGCCGATGACTACAACCCAGTAAGATACTTGTTTATTTCTGTTTTATATTTCAAATCCATACCCAGCATGCACAAACTTAAAAAAGAATATATCAGTATAATGTGAACATGTAGATTTCACTCTAGTTTAGTCTGATTTAAACTGTGACAAAGTTAGCATAAGATAAGAACAATAAAGTAGAACTAAACTTTTGCCTGACTTTAAATTTCTTAAGTTATATGAGAAATTTGGCTTACTAATTAAAAATTCAAATTGAACCGGTAAACAAGCAAAACGCTGAAAAAAAGCCAATACCGAGAAGTGTTCTAGTTGAGTTGAATACAAAGTGGCATAAGTGCATGTGACGGAGAGTGTGAAACAGGATGTTCCACGCTGCTTCTTCTCTGCTCGTCTGTAGTCTATATTGTGTTCCTCTTCTACTCTTCCTGTCATGAACTTTCTTTTTCTTCTCCTCTGCAGGTCTCCCTCAGACACAAATCAAAGAAAAAGACTCGAGGAGGTAAGATGTGGGTTAGCGTGATTGGGTCTTAAATGTAGTCACATGTGTAATTTAGACACTTTAGGGGCGTGTGGCAGGGTAATTGCCACAGTGCTTCTTTTCAGTGCCTGGTTAATTTCACTTCACTGCTTGTTACTATCTTGGTGTCTTTTTGTATATTTCTTTAGTATTTATTTATAGCTAAAACAGGTAGGCTGGATGCAGATTATCTAGGTGCCAACCTGAGTGTGTTTGCCCTCTTTTTATTTTAGGGTGGGTGGAGATTTGATCAAAGTTTGAAAACAGTGGAAATATTTTTACCTTCCTCTCATCTGAATTTGGGACTGCCCTCTTCGCTCCAGTACAGAAGACTAAATTCTGTCTTTACATTATGCTTTATGTATAGGCAATGGTACAATGAGCAGAAGGAGGATCTCAGTCAAAGACCTTGGACAGCCAGATCACCAGGGATGGCTTTACAGGAAGAAAGAATCGAAAGGCTTTCTGGGGATTAAGTGGAAGAAATATTGGTTTGTTCTCAAAAAGACTGCACTCTACTGGTACAACAATCAGCTGGTAAGTTCATTATGCAATGGCTACATGATTCATTTCTTCCCCTTAGCAGTTTTAGGAAATGCTACTAGTAACCAACCACTCATCATCAAATAAATCTTCACCACTATACTTTTTCAAAATACTAATTAAAAAGATTTTTCTGTGAAAAGTTAAATTATTTTCTAAGGATTCAAGATGTAGACTGTGATCTTGGTATTCATGACTATTTATTATGTTAAAATTACTTAATTTGTTGACGTGAAACAAATCCTTTATTGATACAGGTTAGTATCTTGAAACTTTAATGTCTTATTTTCCGTTGACCATAAAATCTAAAATGTTTTAATTAGAGGCAGGATTGTATACTGCATACTGTAAAGTGGTGAATCTGAAACGTGCATGTGAAGTGTGAAGCAGCACCGGCTAGTTTGTCAATGACTCAGTCACAGCTGTGTCACTGCAGCTAAAACCGTAACCACACTCTAACCACTATTATACATCAAACTAACTATTACATTTGAAATAACCTGGTTTAACTAGCATAACTGACATACAACTAACAGACAGCACATTATTGTATTATATGATTATTCTGAAATAGGAAAGTTTTGGGTTTATTTAAAACAGGGGACATATTCACTTTATTAAAATAAGTGTGTTTCAAACACTTTTGTAAAATGTTATCTTTTTATATTGTAGAATATCATGTACAATAGATATCTTGGTAGTATCACATATATTGTGTATTGTATCATTTTTACTATTAACTTTTCTTGTCAGGAAGTGGTGTGACCTTAATGTGTTGCACAATTCGTGTTTTGCAGGCTGAAAAGGCTGAGGGATATATTGACCTCACCAACTTCATGATCGACAGAGCCATAGAATGCAAAAAGAAACAGTAAGCTCATTCTTGTTTGTGGAGGGTTACCATTTTTGCACTATACATTTTGCTTTCAACTTTTTCTTTTTACAGTGCCTTCAAAGCCTGTCATCCAAGGGTCATGATGTTCTACTTTGCTGCTGAGAGCCATGATGAAATGACTCTGTAAATTGCCTTGGAACTCAAGCAATATAACATTGACATTTATGTGGTTTTAACTGTGTTTTTGTGTTTTCAGATGGTTGAATAAGCTGGGGTTAGCTTCCATTCATTATGAGCCAGCGGAACAACACACAGTAGCTGGTATGTCCCTTTATTACGAGTTACTTTTTTGTTGGATATTTGTACATTGTATGCATATTTCTTTTACTTATTCGTCATTGCTTGATTATCAGATCATGATAACTTAAACATGCCTCTAAAAAGTTTCCGTCCTATCTTTCAGAATGTTATAGTGAAGCTAGTGACCACGAAGAGACTGAGACCCCTGAAATCCCTCCTCCTCCGTACTATGAGGAAACGTTACAGGACCGCGTCGATGCCTCTTCTCCACCTGGAAGTACAAATCAAGTCAGTGTTGGGCTGAAGAAATCACTTTCAATTCTCATTTTAAAATGCACATCTAAAGAAGTTTTTGTTCTTCAGGGGACACTTCCTCCACCATACTCCTCCACCGCACCAAGTGAAGCTAATGGTTCCCTGTCCACCCCTGTCAGTACTATGACCTCTCAGGACTCCGCCTCCTCACTGGTCAAACAGCGGCAGTCGTGGATGGACTTGGTCACTCAGGCATCTCCTTCTACTACTGAGACGGCAATAGTGTGCTCTGTGCAAGTACACACACAGCATGAAGAGGAGGAGGAACAAGAAGAAGAGGCCATAACTCCACAGCCTAAAGCAGGGTCTGAAGCAGAGGGTCCAGAGAATAAAGAGGAACCAGAGAATACAGGAAATCATGAAGCTGAAGGTGAGATGATTTTCACTTTATTTCTGCTTTTTGTTGTCTACATAATGTGCCTATAGATATAATGCACATGTAGCCTAACTGCATTTTAACTCCATTGCCTATGAAGTATGCTAACCTGTTCATTTAGTGAACAATGCCCTTGTTGTTACAGAAGACCATATGCTTTCAGATGAGTTGGAGAAGCTGTACATACACCTCAAAGAAGCAAGCCTTTCACCAATTGGAGACCGCAAACCATCCACAAAAAGGGAATTCCGGGCATCCTTCATAAAACGGTCCAAAAATCATACAGTTAATGATAAACTTCACCTCATTAGGACTCTAAACAGCACATTGAAGGTATACTTTCATTGTGGTCAGTTTTTGTTTTCACAAAGTTGTATTTCCCTAATTTGTTGTCTGTATTCTGTTTAAAGTCGAAAGAAGCAGATCTTCAGGTCTTGGAGCAGTTGCTAATGGATCCACAGCTCACTGCAGAGAAGTTCAGAGAATGGAAAGATGCCAATGCACCTCTAATGCAGGAAATCTGCTGCAAAAGTGACCAGCAGGGGACGCCAGAGGACACAAACTCTGAAACATCTGAGGTTTCCACTTCACTGGTTGAAACTAGTTTATAAGGACTAAAGAAGCTAAATATGGACATTTATTGTTTACATGCACTGCTGTAATATGAAAAACTACTGTTACTCCCCCTCATATGAATACATTTATGAAGAAATTGTACATAAGTTACTTTTTTAGGTAAATGTGAATGTTTTTTGTATTTACCTGCTTTTTTTGTTTTATATTTGTTTCTTACTGTCTAGTACATGTTTTAAAGTGTCCCTTTTTTCTTTTTTACTGGTTTTATTGTATTATGGGTGCTATGCACTGACTAAACCACATTACCATGAATATCTGTGTCTCCCTAAACATTGTTGCCTTGGTGTTAAAATATTGCAGAGCAACACAGTCTGCACAAACAACATTAAACATTTGCCATGATTTTAAAATCATATTCTTATCTTCTTCAACATATGTACAATAGGCTAATACTTATTGCAGTTGTATTGCCTAAGATCTCATGCATGTTTCTTTAGCCACGGCTGCCTGAGGGTGATGGAAACAAGACAGATAATTTACATGTTGGTCCCTCTGTCCACCACCAATCACATTGTAAAAACAATGTGCCCTGGGATTTAAACTTTGAGTTTGGGTCCTCTACAGTAGTCTTTACCAACCATGGATTGGTTTCAGATTTTTAAATGTTTAAATTGAATAGTATTTAAATAAAAATGTTTGTAGTAAATTTGCTATCGGTCTTTACAAAGCTCGGGGGTATTCGAGACGTAATGGTACTTAATTGCATTATTGGCTACTAGATTAATAAACCCTATTTTGAGTAAAATGCATTATGTATCCCTGGTAAAATGTCACAGTCAGAGTTGCAGGTCTGAGTTGTGGCCGTTGGGGGTCGCTGGTCGCGCGGATCTCCTCGAGTCTAGCGCCATATTGGCTCTTCAGTCTCCTCCATCTTCGCCGAGCGTCGAGCATGCACGTCCTAAACCGGTCTGAGGGGAAAACTCTAAACATTTTTAGGCCATCTGTGAGGTGAAACCCGTCGTCATGGAGGCGGTCAAAGCTTTTAACAACGAGGTTTGTGTCAACAGACTATGTTTAATGCAATCAAACCCATTGAGTATTATGTGATTTTCTTTGCATTTGCCATTAGCTGAGGCTAGCATTAGCTTTCCTAGCATAAAGGAGGGGTGTATAGTCATATACAGTACAAGGCCTCTTTGTGTTACACTCCCTTACAACTGTGTTAAAGCAGATCAGGTTGTATTTTACTTGTTATAAGCATGGTGTGCACCATAAACAAACACGTTGTGTCTTTGCATACCAACTTGTGCATTCTATATGGGAAAACACAATCCCAAAGCTAACTGCTAACTTAAATCTAGCAATTTAGCGTTACGAGTTGGCTAATTAATTTGAACTGAATACTTGATTTAGAAACTGCGTGATAAAACATAGAAACCAATTTAAAGGCTTTGCATATGACACACCGCCTTTGTGTTTGCCCATAAACATTTTGTTATGCAAGTCGTACTGCTTCTATAACCAAAGGGCATCAAATGGCTTGGTGCACCTCGGCGGATAGCCAGCCCACCGCTAGCCGAATCATGATGTGCTATGAGGTCTCCGAACCAGTACAAGTATCCTTTTGTGTGTCCTCTTTAAGCATCATCTTATTAAAGCATCCTCTGAGCATTCTGATGAGGATTGAATATTTGATGCGGAGGGATTAATGACAGTTCTTCATGAATTCATGACTTCAAGAATGGCTGAAATAACAATAGTTATTTAACATTAATCGTAGATTAGCTATGTTAACAAGAAGCCCATTTAGTCTCATAGCGTTCTATAATCTACCACACATAATTTGACACATTTTTTATTCATTCCAGCTGTACTCGTTGAACGAGTACAAACCGCCCATCTCCAAGGCCAAGATGACCCAAATCACCAAGTCTGGAATCAAGGCTATTAAAGTAAGTATTAATAATAAGACAGGTATTGAGTAGGGAATAAAAGACCTACACAACCAATATCAGACTTGACTTTTCTGTGGGAATGGTAACATTTCTTCATCACGTTGACAAAATGCCCTCATCTTCAAGACAACATATAATGAGACTTCCCTTTGCTGTAATTTATATAAAAGTTAGATATCCTGCAATTGCTTTCATATATTTATTTATATTTATCCAACAATTTTGCCAAACTTAAACTGTTATCTGCCTAACACTTGTAACTTTTTTCTACCTGACACTTTAACTTTTTTGGTTTAATGTTTTTTGGTGGATAACACCGTGTTCTTCTTGTATCTACTTAATATTTGGCTTACTATGTTGTCCAGTGGAATGATAACCAGCCTTCTGATAGCAAAAATACTTTTTTTCTTTAGCTATGATTTGAAAGAAAGTTTCTCTGAAAACTGCTGCACAAATCACTGACCCTTTTATTTGAACTGTTGATTCTGAAGTTACCATTTTCATTAAGCTGTTCTTTGTCTGCAGATATTTAAGATTCAGTTGAAATTATGCATATTGAAAAGTTTCATAGTATTCTTGTAGTGTTTGTGTTTTGCCTGTGAATAACACCCGTTTATCTTCCCTCAGCAGCTCTCCCAGCTCCCCCAATGCACTGAAAGTGAAGCAGGAGGATGGGGTGGAGAGAGTTACAAAGAAATAAGAGAATCCGTAACCATCTTAGGTAGGAGTATGGGTTGTTTCACAAGGAAGCCTAAAGAAGACTTAAGTGATTTAAGTCTAATTTTCCTGCACACATAATTTGACATCTCACTGCCACATACTTTGGTATTTGCTGGCTTGAGGTTTGGGCTGGTTAAAGGAGTAATTTACTTGGTTACAATGTTGTTTAGATGTTGGTGTTGTGAGTACATTGTAGATTTTGAAGTTGAATACACTTTGAGTTGTAAATTATTTGAATTAACGTGACACACAGACATGTTCACCCTTTTATTTGATGGGCATCTACCATTACTCCATAACACACTTTGCATACATTTGATAAATGCTTTTGCATTAGTGTGGTGTTTGCTTTTGTGAGATGGACTGGGATATTGAAGTGATATTGTGATATTAGTTCATTATAGATTTTTAAACACCATAGCTTTTGTTTTTTCTTACACATTTACAGATAATTACAGAGCATTTGTCCACTGATCTGAGGGTCAGAGGTTTGAATCCAGCTTCAGTTGGTTGAGTGGTCACTTGTCCACAGTTTGGTGGTTTCCAGCTCCCAGAGCGCCTCATTGTCGTCATGCGGCCTTCACTTTGTAGTTCGTGCACATGAATGAATGTGTGTGACTGGGTTAGTTTGGGATGATCCTGTGACTCAAGAACTCTGCTGCATTCTCACAACTGACACAGTAGAGTTACATTTAAGTTCATAAATTGTTATGTTTCTAAAACTATGCAGTTTTTTAGGATTTGAGCAGCGTGTCAAATAAGGTTGAAACAAGTTAATAGGTTCATCTCAAAATATCTATTATTGATTTAAGCATCTAATTTAACTCATTTAACTGATCAAATACAGAAGAGGTTTTATCACTCAGACTATGACAAAAATTCTTCCTAATGAAGAGGTCTAATGATCCCCAACTCTTTTTAAGCTTTCACCATAACCTTGTTTTAGTGTACCTTTACTCCAGTAAAGCATTCAAACTACAGTATTGTCATTGCATTTATTTTTATTTGAGAAGGAAGTTCAGTGCCACAAAAGCATAGGACATTAGGAGTTTAGGAATTCACTAGAGGCATTTGTTATGTGCTGCATTTAGGTTTTACTGTTTAGAGCTTCAACAGTCATCCACATATGGTGCCATCGAAAAATCTAACTAAAGCTACATTTTAGCTAAACGTGAATGTAACATTGCCTTTTTGAGGTTGTCTCCCTCAGTCTGAATCCACTGCTGACAAGCATAAGACTTGTTTAGAGTAATTTGTTATGCTAAAGTAGACCCTGAATCCATTGAAGACAAGCATGAGTATGCAATGTGAGCAGCCCTTTATTACATAGTTTAATTCAATTGTTGCATAGCTGATATTTAGTAGGTATGTTGAGGTTATTTCAGTGTTGAGCAAGTAAATTAGGTGGTTATTTGCTATTTCTTCTCAAAAACGGCATTATGGTATTGTAGTAGTCCTGCACATCATGAACAGAATTTGAAAAACCTCTCATTTTGCCTGTACACAAAGATCATCAACAATGAAGTCAGACAGCGCAGGAAGCAGCCCCAGCAAAATCCAGATTTCATTAGTTTTAGTGACTAAACCAGGGGTCTCCAGCCTTTTTCCCTCTGAACTACCTTTGTAAAAGGCAAAAGCCAGAGAGCTACTCACTTTAACAATTGTAAGAAATTGAGTATACAGTATGAGAGCCACTGCTTTAGGTGGGGTGCCTATGAAAGACAAACCATTATCCATTTATTAGTGCTCAAACACAGGAATAAAAATGACACTATACAGTTGTAATTAATCAGATTTTGGTTATTAAGCACAATACATATTCAGAAATCCATTGCATCCACCCCCTTCCACTGCATGGAAGGAGGTGTAGAGCTACTGGTGACTCCTGAGGACAGGTTGGAGATCCCTGGGCTAGACCCCAGAAGTCCATATGGCACAATATCTTGTGTTTTGTGAGTCAAAATTGCCACAAGCTTGTGCAGCAAAAATATTAAATAAAGTAAATAAAAATTAGGCCAAAATTTTGAACTAAACGGCACAATTTATTTACTATAGTAAATATTATCTTGTTCTCATGTACCCAGTCTTGTCTATTGTATTGTGGAAATTGTGTTTTGTCCTACCTCTAATATAAACATTTTATTTGAATTGAAATAAAATATCTATAGATTGTGATGTTATCTGAAACCCTGAACCAGCAAACATTTAGCAGTTATGTTTTAAACATTTGTATTTGAGCAGTAGAGTGGTATATTCATTAAGCACACGATGAGTGATCTCAGAAGATAAAGAGATTTCGGAGGGTTCAGTGATGTTTGATCCTATTTATTTTAGGCCCTCATAAAAATATTTATAAACTGGAATTGAAATCGAAATTAATGAGCACGGTTTAATTCTCACTGGCAGTGTGCATTTTAGACATATCCAGGAGCATTAATATGTGAGATGATGTATGGAACTATGAACTGCTTAGCCAAAGCAAAAATCAGTCAGCTAAGGCTGTAGTCCTTCAGTCTAGTCAGTTCATCGGTTGACTATATTGTTTATAATCAATCTTCATTAAATCAGTTGGTCAGCTAATAAAGATTTTTTAGTTGACTGTACAGCCCTCATTTCATCGTGTTGTCGGTAGAAATGAAAACTACATAGTTACAGGGTGCCCTGTCTAATTTTTGCAACTTGGATTTATCATTTTTTACTGTAACACTGTTGTTAGGTAGAGCAGTGCACCACCAGACAATCACTGAGTTTGATCTCATTTCAGATCTTTTGCGGAATATCCTATCAGCTACTGAATCATAAAATAATTTATATTGGCATGAGCCATTTGGATTGCCATTTTCATCTCTGGAATCCTTTTGGTTTAAACCTAAAATGCTTTTCTCATCCTCACTAACTAAATCCTAACTCACTCCGCATTACCTGCAGACCTGCAGCCAATCATTAATCAGTGCTAATGCTCGTGGATTTCTAGTGGAGGTTCTTAGCTTTCACATGAGGCATGACCTGTTCATATACTTAGTAAAACGTGTATGTGTCCTCTATATGCAGGTTTAGGTATTGGGAACCCGGGTTCAGTGGTGGCCCTTTTTTTTTTTTTTGAACAACTGGTGTGCAGGCTACCTACAAAACAGTCTGTTTTGCTTATATTTGATATTTTTCAAGCACCTCCCTGCAAAGTGGCAGTAAGTTATTTGCCTCTTGACATACAGCACTTGCACAGAAGTTCTAATTGCTATCTATATTTATTAGGGCTGTAGTTGTTTAGTTACTTAATTGGTGGTTGACTTTTTAAGAACTGATAACTTTATTTGGATTATAAGGATTCTAATGCACAACAGCTGGGAGCCTTGAAATGACTGGATAGTTTATTCTGCCTTTTCACATACAAAGATATTGTTTATTCATACTTCAATGTATACAAGCTTTTTTGTTTTTGCACAAGAACCTAACAATTTCCAGAGCTTAATTGAACACTGCTGTGCCTTTTAATTGACTAACTGATGTACATGCATGTCTTTAGTCAATCAATAATTTCTTTGGTTCTATTGTGAGCAAGTTGTCATAGTAATGTCAAAGGATTGGTTTAAACTGTTACATATTTAGTTTCAGTTTCTCTTATGAAATTGTTTTTAGAAGTCTAAAACTAAGGACACACTACACTATTTAAGCCTGATTTTCTTTTTTTCAGTCGACTAGTCACTCAGTCATCACTAGCTGAAATCAGTTGCTCCAGTTTCTTACTTTGTACAACTTACAACTCTTTACATGTTTGAATTGTAAAGTGTGCACAGGACTAGACCTCACTTGCAGTCATCCAAACATTTTTGAAAGTTTTAGCCCAGATGCTAAAATTCAATCCTCATCGTATTAATAAGTAGTATTAGTAGTAAGAAACGATACATAAACGATAGCAACAGCAACACGTAGACACCTAAACAGCAGCTTAATAATATAAAAAGTACTAGTTTTACCACTCAACAACCAAAGCTAAAGCTGAAATAAACATGAATCCTCTCCTCGTGTTGCTGACGTTTGCCTCATAAATAGGACTCCAAATTACAGGGTTGCTTTTGATCAAATTCACACAGGAAATATTTCTTCACTTCTGTCACCACTTGTAAATGTCTCTCTCCTCTCTAGAATCCTGAATGAGATTGCACCTCTGCTAGTGCCACAAGTTTGAAGTGTTTGTGCGGCCTTTGGTGTGCTCTCTTCTAATTGTCAGTTGCTTAGTGTGGACCCTCAGTCTCTGTAGTCGCAGAGTAGAGTGTGGTTGTGTGGATAATCCAGAGCATTCTAAATTCTCACAACTGGGTCATCTTAAGGACATCAGCTTCAAATCATTTTGTAAAATTATCTTCCAGGCACATGGAGCACCAAAGCAAGCTTAAAATGACTGTCTGGACATTTTAATAAACTTTGATGACATGAACACTATTCAAAAATATCTAATGCATCAACTACCATTGACAGGAAGTCTCAGCTAGTCAAGTGTCTCTCCTTAAAGCCAAGGAGCTTTTTACTGTCCACAATAGTGCAGTATTTCTTATATTGTTTTCTCCCCTAATCATTATGATGATGAGTAAATGCTGCAGTTGCTTTTTTGTCCCTCTATGGGGCTGGTTGCTTGTGGTCCATATGTTTTGAGTGAGGCTTGAATCTTTTGTGTTTATAATACATTTTTGGGGTTACTGTAGTGGTATCTCAACTGCACCCATCAGCTCTGGGTACGGTAACAGTATGAAATTAATCATGTCTAAGATTAAACTCAAATCTTCCAAAAGCAAGCCATTATAAGGCAAAGGAAACAATCAAGTGATTAGGGAATGACTTGTAAAATTATTCCAACAACAACCTTTATTCCTGTGAATGTCATTGTTGTGCTCTTATGGTGTCCCTGTAAGGCTGTCCCAAATCTATGGTACTGCTGTCATTTGCGATAGATTAAGAACTTTTACATTGCAATATTATTTTATTTATTAAATAACATAACATAAATTATTGACTTCATTTGATAAAATCATCTGTGGATTTACCCCATTTACAGATGGTGTTTTTGTGTGTAGGTATCTTAGACTGTACATATACAGGGACGTAGCGAGTGCTAGCCGGTGCATTCCATATAGGAGGCTCTTGGCAGCAGGCTCTTCTGACTCCGTTTGACTCTGGCTCCCATTGACTTGCGTTGGAATAGTGTGGCCCTTCTCTCTTTAAGAGCCTTGTCATTTTGGTCTTAAAATGTTCATGTTAACCCACTCTACATGATCCTGGTGTTTATTTTCCATTATTTTGTCTGTTAAGAAAAATCCTATTCATAATATAGAGCCTGGCTCTGAATTTGCCTCTACCATTAGTATTGCGAGCTTTATTTGAGTGGAGCTGAAGGCTATGGGTGACATCAAACTCACTTAGTCCACTTCTTTATAGAGTCTGTGGCATTATGTATGGTGCATATTACCCAAAATACTGCTTGTTTTATTTTTATACAGTTATTACTGTCCCAATTTACTGTGACTTTTAACTTTGTCTTTGGGTATTATGTATTTTGTGTCAACTGCTTCCTTCTGTAGATGAGCTCTCTGCAAGGAGAGAGGCAGTCATTCCATTTCTAACTCCTTTTTCTAATCTGGCTTTTTTCAGGTGCATCTGAGGAACAGGACCTCCTGTCAGTTTAAATTATCACAGTGTTATTATAATTAATCTTTTTTTCCCCTTTCAGTTCTACAAACATGTCGTCCAAAGTGTAGAGAAGTTCATACAAAAGGTATGCTGCACATTTATGTTATTTCTATAATCTAAACTGACTTTCGTCAAATCAATAAAAAAATGTCCCTCCCCAGTGCAAACCAGAGTACAAAGTTCCGGGGCTTTATGTCATCGACTCTATTGTCAGACAGTCCAGACATCAGTTTGGGACCGAGAAGGACGTCTTTGCTCCACGCTTCAGCAAAAATATAATTGTGACATTTCAGCATCTCTACCGCTGCCCTCCAGATGACAAGGTCTGTCTTCAGTTTGTTTATAATGTTCTAAAGGTCAACTTGGGACTCAGTGAAAATAACTTGTTTACTCTAATTTATCTAACTTGGACACAACCTATTCCAGCATTGCATGCTTGGTGATGGTGGTTGTAGTTTTCATAGATATGCACCAATCCATCTTGTTCAATCCTGGTATTGATCATTCAGAGTATCTGCCAATGGGCCCTATTCACAGATCCACCCACCCAGTTCGACTTCTCTCAAAAACTGCGGAGCCGCACCTCCTTCTCCATTCATTGTGTATTGGGAATTAGCCAAGCCATGCTGAAATAAATCTATATTTAAATTATAAACGGAGGACAGTAGGTTAAAGAAAATACATTGTCGTAAAGGTCTTAACATTCTGTCTGTGATTATCCAACTGCTGTCTGATATTTAAATATAGATTTATTTCACCACTATGCTTATTCCCAATACACAATGAATGGAGTGGGAAGTGCGGCTCTGCAGTTTTTGAGAGAACCAGAACTAGCCAGGCGGCTCTGTGAATAGGGCCTATATCATCAAATGCTTGATTTCATGGTCACAAAATGCAGCTGTAGCTATGTGCATGATGAAACTGATCTTGGGTTGCCATTGCCTTAACCTACAGATAGACATACTAGTTTTTCACATTGTCAGTATATGGACCGGCTGCAGGAGCTGAGGTTTAGGTCGGGAGGTTGAAAGTTTTAAACCAACTGAATGTTGAAATTTGAACTGACAGCCTATGTGGGAGACTCATGTTTGGCTCCTTCTACTTTTTGGTTGGACAATCATCTCGATTACCAATGCACAGAATTAAAACAGAAATAAATGGGACATCGTGTCATGTTTTTGTTTTAATTTTGTTGCCTATTTATTCTTTATTTGATTTCAGAGCAAAATTGTGCGAGTGCTCAACCTCTGGCAAAAAAATGCAGTTTTTAAGAGTGATATTATCCAGCCGCTGTTGGACATGGCAGCAGGGCTTCCTCCTCCCAGTGTCACCCCAGTCATGTCCAGCAGCGCGGCTCCCATCAACAATGCCACTCCAGGTGAGTCTGCAGAACACTTGTGTATTTAACTGATGCATGTTTATTTGCTTACAACAGTTATCATCTGTACAGGCACACCGGCCACTCCTGCCACACCCGCCAATATTGTTCAGGGTCTGCCGGACTGGGCTTCACAGATCTCCAACACAGACACTGTCGCTGCTGTGGCCCAGATCCTACAAAGTCCTCAGGGACAGCAGGTCAGTGACTCTCTCAGGACCACCTGGGTAGTTATGGAGTTTGGACTGAACCTATGACTCAGTATTATACGTATCTGTGTGCTCAGCTACAGCAGTTGGTGCAGAGTTTGCAGATGCAGCAGCAGAAGCCCCAGCCTTCACTGCTGCAGGCTCTAGATGCAGGTCTGGTGGTGCAGCTACAAGCACTGACGGCACAGCTTACTGCTGCAGCCACAGCCAATACTTTGAACCCTCTGGAACAGAGGGTCTCCTCTTTTAACAAGGTATTGCCCAGTGCTTGTCACAAGTTTGAATACTCTGCAGTCACTTTGCCTAAGTGTTCTCCTGTCATTATAGAAACTTCTTGGTCCATTTGACTTTGGAAATGATTCTGAGCGTAGTGACGAATCTAAAAAAGATACATCATCCCAACTGTAAGTTGTAAAGGATGTTATATTTTGTCCCTGTGTTTTGATCTAATATAGTTTGTTTTTATAGGCCAATAGTGTCAGAGCCCAGCTCTCTGTTCCATCAGTTGGCCGAGCAGCTGCAGCAGCAGAACCTGGAGCAGTTTCAGAAGCAGCTCCTGGAGCACCAGCAGCACCAGAAGGTACAGTCTTTCACTAGCTTTCTCTCTTTCTCTCTGTTTCTCCAAGTTAGAACTACAAATAATGGGTAAAAAGTGGAGAGCTAAATGCTGTTGTCATTTGTATAATTAACCTTAATAAATATGTTTTCTCTAGACAATGGGTCTTGAAAGTAAAGACTTTGGCCAAGACAACAATGTAGCAACTGCTCAGAGCAGCAGCCAGCCTCAGCATTCTGAATCTGAGAAGTTAGACGATTCTATCGATAATCAACAAGAGGTATGCCAAGTCAAGCCAATGTCAGTTATGTTGTGTTGATACATGTCAAACTATTTAAAAAAAAAATGTTATGTAATAATGTCAAAGTGTACGGAATCAAATTTACAAATGCACAAAAAGTATATATTTTTCTTGTTTTCAGGATATGGATCTAGATGAGGGCCCAGATGGAATGGAAGAAGAGATTGTAGAGACCGAAGAGAAGAGGCATGTCAGCACTCGCTCAAGAACACGCTCTCGCTCTCGCTCTCGGTGAGCTACCTTTCCAAACACTATTGCATTAACAGCACAAATGTGTGTTTTGATAAAACCGTTAAGGATGGACTTCAACAGCACAAAATACTCTTGTAAGCATTTCGTTGCAGTTAATAACAAATGAGACAAAAACATTTCTACTGTTGCTATTTTAGATCTCCCAAAAGGAGAAGGTCCAGGTCGCGCTCAGGCTCTCGAAAGCGCAAACACCGAAGGCGCTCTCGTTCTCGCTCCCGAGACCGTAAGAGGAAATCCTCTCGCTCCTATTCCAGTGAGAGGAGAGCCAGGGAGAGGGAGAAGGAGAGACAGAAGAAAGGACTGCCTCCAGTTCGTTCCAAAACTCTTAGTGGTAAATACTTCATTTGTTCATGCTTTTAGACTTCTACCTTTTGATTTGGATTTCTGACCATTATTTGCCTTTTTCTTCTGCTTGTAGTGTGTAGCACAACTCTGTGGGTGGGCCAAGTAGATAAGAAGGCAACCCAACAAGACCTTACCAACCTCTTTGAAGAGTTTGGACAGATCGAATCTATAAATGTAAGCTGTGTCTCTTTTTTGTGGTAATTGTTGTAATTAAACATGTTTGCAATTCCTAACAGTTAAATTATTTTGTGCAGATGATCCCTCCCAGAGGCTGTGCCTACATCTGTATGGTCCATAGACAAGATGCATACCGTGCCCGTCAAAAACTCAGCACAGGCTCCTTTAAGATAGGTTCTAAGGTCATTAAGGTACTTTTATTAAGCATAATGTAAAATTGCAGAGTTGAAACCATTTCTTACGTGCACTTGTTTTTGTGCATCAGATTGCCTGGGCCCTTAACAAAGGTGTAAAGCAGGAGTACAAGCAGTTCTGGGATGTAGACTTGGGTGTTACCTACATACCTTGGGAGAAAGTGAAGCTTGATGACCTGGATGGTTTTGCAGAAGGAGGAATTATTGATCAGGAGACTGTAAATGATGGTAAAGTGACTGTCTATTTTGACCTCTTTACTAGTTAATCTTTCTAGATTTTCTTTAATACATTGGTTCAATGTTTTTAAAGAGTGGGAGGCTGCAAAGAATGCAGAAACTGCTAAAGAAAGTGCACCTCAGCCTGTGGCTGTTGACACTACACCTCCAACCAACCCACAGGCAGAGAGCTTCAGCCAGCAGGTCACCATGATGCCTGTGCAGGTATGTGTGTTCGAAGAATATTCACAAAATCTTCACTGTAGCAATTTCAAAGGAGAAAAAATATCACCCCCTCTCTGTAAACAGCTTCCTGTTGCCCCAGCTGTGCCCAGTGCAGTGGGTTTGGTGCCTCCTTCATTTTCAGTGTCAATGGGAATCCCTCCTCCAGGCTTTGCCCCACCACCCTTCTTAAGGGCCGGGTTCAATGCCACTCAGCCCCCTCCAGGTAGTGACTGATTTCAAATCATTTCCTTTGTAGACTGATTTTAAGACCTGACATTCTTATCAAGATATGTTGTATTGTGCAGGGTTTTTACAAACAACACAGGCAACAGCACCTACATGTATGTATTTTTTCTTTACACTAGATTGTTGGCTCAAATCAAAAAATATGTACATTTATTTTTCTCACTTTTTACACAGCCCTTGTGCAACCTTCAGTCACTTCTAGTCAAGATGGTGTTAAAGATTCACCATTTGGTGCACTGATCCCTCCAAGCAGCACTATTCCTGGGAACTTCATGCCTTCAGCCATCCCTGGAGCTGGTGTGTTTACCCCAATGGGACTTCAGACGCAGCAAGCTGCTAATGAGAAAGCTCAGTCTGAGGGCATGGATGCTGCTGCAGAGCTCACACTGCAGGGTGAGTCTTACAGTGCCAGTAATTCACTTATGAACAGCTCAAAAGTTTGTTTCCAACAGACTCTCCCTTGTGAATGTGCAGGTATGCAGAATGCAGTGCGCAGTGGCATGGGCCTCCTGGGCATGCACCCCTCAGCGTCTCTCACTCACCCTGGTCTGTCACCACAGCGCCTCCCTGGGCTGCTGCCTTTAGATGTGCGCCCAAACCTGCTCCCTGGAGCTGGGCGCTTCCCCCTTCTCATGCAGCCGGGGCTTTTAGACGGCTCCCTACAGGCCCGACCCAGAGCACCCTTCTCCCAGTTGGACCATTTTAATAGAGCCCCCAATCTTAATAATGAAAGTTTACCCAAAACAGAAGACGAGTCTTCCTCTGGGGCTGATGAAGGGAAAGACCAAGACTACCGTTTCCCCCCCATGGAGAAGCCGAGCACTGGGTTATTGCGCACCCCTCCCCCAGAGCAGCGAGAGCCCCTGGGAGGCCCTGGTAGCGGGCGACCTCCCTTACTGCAGACCCCTGGTACACAGCCAGCCAGAAGCAGCCTAGTGGGCAGGCTACAGGCTCTAGCCGGCTTCACCCCTGATAACCGCTGGAGTCAGACCAGAGGGGACTTTGACGAGCGTGATCGCCCCACATCAGCACAGAACTTCCCCAGTCGTTTTGACAACCGTCCTGGAGGGCCAAGTGGACCAACACAGCCCTGGAGCCGCGGAGCTGGTCCCTCTGCACCTTTTGACAGTGACCTCCACCAAGATTTAGATGAACGCAGGCGGCCGTGGGACAGACAAAGGGACCGGGACGAGCGAGACTTTGATTTCAGAAGAGAGATGAACGGTGGTCGTCACAGCCGAGAGCGAGACAGGGAAAGGGAAAGGGACAGAGACCGAGACAGAGACAGAGACCGAGATAGAGACCGAGATCGAGGTAGAGAGCGCCCTCGGGAGACCGAGCGCGAGAGGGACAAAGAGCGTGACAGAGACAGAGGGAACTGGACTCCCCTTCTGCCCTTGCCCACGCCTCTGCTTCCAACTCCACCACTCAATCCAAACCTGGCTCTCAACCCAGGCAAAATGTTAACACCTCTGAAATTAAACCCTCAGATTCCACCACGCTTCCAGTCCCCTCCACTGGTCCAGGCCAGGCCCCCACTCCTGGGCCTCAATCAGCCACAGCCTTTAGTTCCAACCAAATCCCCCCCTTCAGCACAGAGCCAGGAGCCTGCATCAGAGCCACCGGAGGAGAGAGCAGTTTCCCCAGTGCCTCAAAACCAGTCTCCTGCTCTCCCACAATCTCCTGCTCTTACACAATCCCCTGCCCTCCCACAATCCCCTGCTCTATCCCCGGAGAATCCAGCTCCTTTGAGTCAGTCTTCAGACTTTGTCCCGTCACCGTCTGAGTCTGAGACCCCTCTGCAGACAGTGTCACCGGCTCGCCCAGTCACCCTGTCCCCTCCAACCATAGGTTCTCCAGAAAGTCCAGCCCTGGTTCAAGCCTCTTCCCCTCCCACAGAGGCGTCCCAGGAGGCATCCCAAGAGGCGTCCCAAGCGGCGTCCCAGGAGGCCTCCCAGGGAACGTTCCAGGAGGCATCCGAGGAGGCATCCCAGGACTCGTATGTGACGGGCCTGTGTGAGGAGACCAACCCCTCTCTAAAGGAGGACACCATGCAGGAGGAGCACTCCCAGGATGATGTGGGCTCCCCCCCGCCCTCCTGGGAGAATGGACCTGGTATGGACACTAGCATGGCTGAATCCACAGCAGAGTCCACTGCAGAGCTCTGCACTGACTCTGCGCCCACTAGAGGTGAAGAGCAGCAGGAGCAGCCTGGCTCTCCTGAGGACATAGTGAATAATGCACAGAGTGAGTCCACGGAGGAAGCTGCCAGTCAGCCTGTGCTAGACTCTGTCCCAGACACTGAGGGGACATAATCATCACTCAGTAGGTACAAGATCATTTTGTAAAGCGTTTCTCTTCTTCTCTGTACTCATGTCAACAAACTCCCAGCACCTCCAACACACTGGACATTACAGCTGATGATTATTGACTATTTTAATTCACCAATGCCAGTGTACCTAAACGGAAGGCTCAATAGCATACTAGAAAAAATGTATTTTATTTTATTTCTTTTTAGTTAAAATTACCCCACACATTTTAATTGACCTAAAGCGTGGTGACTTTTATTGAATAGCCTGCTAATGTTTTAATTGTATATGGGGGAATTGAGCTTTGACCTTCCTATGGAAGAAATGTAGAAATTCTGGTTCCCACAATGGATTTAATAGACTTCACTCAGTACTTGAACAGAGCGGTTTTAGTGAGATTCTCTTCTGTACAGTGCTGCTGCAAAGGTCTGCAATGAATGCGCTTGTGGTGTCCACTATTTTTCTTTACAACTTCTACACACAAAAACTATTAGTGCAGATGTTAAAATTGGAGCAAGAAAATTTTTGAATGTTGTATTCTCAATATTGACATGTAATCTGTTTCTGATCAAACCTGAAATCATGACAGGAAGGACTGAGCAGCAGTATGTTTTGGATTATGATGCATATTGTTTTGGTCTGAAATAAATGCTTTGTCTGTTTCAACACACGCTTTAGAACTGTTCACTGATCCAGGACCACAGTAGTGTTCTGGGACCAGTTCATTTGATGTTGCTGCTTAAATCCCCCCTCCACAGAGCACAGAGCACTGTGCGACGTGTAGTCTGTAGTTTCTAAGCGTTAGCTTGGTGACTCTAGAGGTTGGGAGGTTGGGGCTGTGCCTTTTTGAACGGATCCTTCATGATGCTACCCACAGTATAGTATGACCTCAGATATTGTGTACAGTTCAGATGGATCTGCCTGAGACCTGAGCAGTAGACTGGTCTGTCCAGCACTCACAACTACGCTGTATACTCCTCCATCTGTGCATGCAGGCCTGTAGCCATGTTTTAACCCTGTCTCTCTTGTACATTTCAAACTTGTAGTGCTTTACTTTGAGGCATATTAGAAAACCATAGTCTGCTGTTTTCAGTTAAACTTGTGATGATGAATAAAAAAAATTGAAGGTGCATCAGATTTTCTAATTTTATTGAGTCTTTAGGGAATCAGGGTGAGTATTACATGAAATGTCTACAAATACAAATACTATTTTACATATACAAACTAAACTGTTAACAACACCAAGATAAAGTACACCTCTGGTACCTAGATAGAAAAAAACAGGGTCCATTTGGACTACTATGCAAGAGCCAGCTGTCTTTACCCTTGTAGCTCATGTCCCGTCCCAGCTGCAACAGCTGGAAGAAGAGCTGACACTGCACACACAAACACCACCACACTGTACTATGCATACACCGAACCCAACATCAGGGAACACAAGCGCCACTATTTATCTAGTCTGTAGTGGAGTCTGCTGATGCCACCTCAGCACTTTGCTTTAACAAGGAATGGCACAGGACAGTGGAGTAATAAAGTATTATACAGCAGAATATCTATGCACTGAACTCTTGAGTCAAAGATTCAACTGGCCTACACACTGGTTAATGCTTAATGGCTAATGGCTAATTGGCTAATACTAAAACACCCATACTATAACTATTAATATTGCTTTGGCTTTATATATGCCTTTCACGACATCCAAAGCTCTGTATACAATGCATTATTTTTTCACTGTACAGCCAACTGCCCTGAGATAGCCTGACCACTGATCTGTGCCATTGGCCCCTCCAACCACAACCAACACTCACACCACATTCATACTAGGTGAGGTGGGTGAAGTGTCTTGTCTAAGGACACACCAGTATGCCCTATGCAGTAGACCCACTGCAGCCCATTGTGGCATCTGGTATTTCCAGTGGTCTCCCATCAAGTACTAACCAGACCCAACCGTGTTTAGCTTCTGAGATTAGATGAGTTTAATCACTTCCACACCACATGGGCAAGGGGCTCAAGTGTTTTGCCACAGCTCATAATTGCACAATAGCTTCTGAGCCACTGCTGTCTCAAGTTGTAGGCTACGAGTGGCATATTACAAAATATCAGTCAGCCCTCACTAATATTGTACTGCATCTGACATTCATTCCCATATATCAATATTTTACATGCATAAACCACATATCTTGCTTTATGAATGTTAGTACAATAATGGTGCTTTTTAAAACTAAGAATATAAGATGAGCTGTATGTGTCTTTTAAACACTACAGTGTCTGGCTTAAACATGTATCTGAGGCTCTGTCACTGGTGCAGACAAACCTCAGTCTGGTCCAATTGAACAAAGCAGCTCTGACCTTTAGTGCAAGATTACCCAGCATGCTCCACTAATGAGTGTGCTAGCCCCAATGGCATGGACTGAGTATTGTCCATACTTCTGTGACATGTGTGTTCAGAGATTCTGGCGTAACAAATGACGCAGTGACACTTTCTTCTTGGTGACATGTGCTTGGATTTTAAAAATGTTACATGGAAGGGTCTGTTTTTTATGTTTTCATTTTGGGCATCATAGTTTAGTCTTTGTTTTATTCTGTATCAGTTCATTTTCTGACCACTAGAGGGTAGTATGGCATCGCAGCAGGTGCCAAGACCATAGAGCAGTGAAGGCAGACTGAGTGCGACAGTTAAAAATCTGCAGTGCTCACCTATCTTACCTTACTCTCTGACTAAAAAGTCTCCTAGCCCTATATCCACACTCAATCCCTTTTTTGAAGTGCCTGTTCAATCAAAATTGCTTTTATAGCTTAAGCCAGAATCATCTGATAGCCTACCACTCTATACCTGATTTGTGACCAGTATCTGAGTGGTGTGATAAATGGATTTGGGGTTATTCAGTGCAAGCTTGGCCTGTTTCTGCTGCCCCTCAGTTGCTGCATTCTAAATTGATTAAATATATTGATTCTCTCTTAAAGCCTTCTGTATTCAAAATCTGTTTACATCTACTGGGCACATTATAAGCCTGCTTTCTTAGACAACCAGATCTCACATTCCTAACCCCCAACATCCATCCAAAGCAAAGCGCCATCCTTTATATATCTTGGTTGTTATGGATGAGAGGAATCCCCTATCTCTCCTGCACTCAGCCGCCACAGTAATTATTCACAACTGTGGGAGTGCACTGCGCTGCTCTCTGCCAGTGCCTCATTGGTGCCATGTTATCAGGGCCAGCACACTCGCTCAGACCGGGCAGAGCTGTCCGTGCTGCTTTTACCTAGTGCTGGCTGTAGAGTCCATCTCTCTGTAAGCCTAAGGACTATAGACAAGAGTAGACAAACTGGCTCACCTAGTTTTAAATCTCCAAATGTAAAAGAATTGGGAGGTACAACGTCTAGTCGTGCAAAGTGCAAAGACTCTTTAAAGCTTCTAAATCCTTATTGCCTGCTGATCTTCTCAATTAGAATAAAACTGTAATCCAAAGTAAATTATGCAGTCAGTCCATCACATCAAAATCTCTACTCTGAAATAGTCACACACTGTTACTTTAATATGGAAAACAACACAATCCATCAAACTGTTTTCTTTGTTCTTCTACTATAAATGTTACACCCATTTAAAATTCTGATATACTAAAAACATTTATTCCAGAATAATCTTTTTAGAAATTCAACAAACTTTCAATCCAATATCTCAACGGCCTAAATCTCATACATCAGACTGTTGGCTCATTATATATGTATGTTTAACTAAAAAACATGTACATGTTGTATTGACAGGCTCTCAAAAGCTTGAATAGACTTGATAATGCAACCCTATAAAGCTTTCTCAGTTCTAACCATGATACGATGAACCACTTATTTTCCTCTACAAATTCACCAAAGAGTATAGAATTTTAGACCTCTGCTGCCTAGCCCCATTTCCCACCCTTTAATTTCCTCTTTATTCATTTTAGAAACGTGTCATCTTCCTGTGCGGTGCTCCCATAGCACAAATACACTTTTATCTCTGTGATGATGGCTCAGGTCTGTTTGCCAAGCTGCTGTTTGCACACTGAGGAGACCGCGTGCTATCTCTCCTGTACATGCCTTTCAAAGCCTAACTTGCTTTACCCACATCAAACATTGTTAGAGATACTACAATGGAAACACAACACCCAAAATTACAATGTGCTCAATGCACAAACTGCAAGATTGATGTCTTCAATTAATTTACTAGGGTCCCCAATTACCCAAATGTGTTTACATACCATTATCTGGCCTGACTTCCTGTCTCATTTATTAGTCAGGAGCAGAGTTCTATGGCTTCCGTTGTCCCCTCCTCTCGCATTGAAAGTGAAGGGCCAGGGAGGTGCCGGGGTCAAAAGTCACCACAGTTAGCAATGACACAGAATAAGAGGTTAGCATTTAGCCTGATTGTGTTGATTTTTAGTGTGTTTGTGCTTTTGTAGGGTGACGAGGGAGCCTATTAAATCTCGCAACGTGAATGTGAGGATGTAGTTTGTGTAGGATGAAGGTACATGGGGATTGCAGTAGTGGGGCAGGATGCTGAGCTGGTGGTTAGAGCTTTGACAGTGCAGCACTTTGAACTTTTGGGAGCATGATCAGTGAAGACCGACAAACAGACAGTCAGGTGAAGAAAGCCCCACCAGTGTCAGTCTCCCAGCGGCTTGGAACTAGTCACATCCACTTTAGTGATGTGGAGGCTTCAAGTTGTGTAATGGAAAACAATGAACAGATAGTTATAACAGAGGAGGGTAGTGACTCTGAACTTTGGTGCTTGCTCACGTCAAATTTAATAATATACTTAAGTCAAATATTTTAGATTTCGGTGAAGTTTTGGCAATAGAGTCTCAGTAAACAGCCTGCGGAGACTCTAGCTACCCTGAATGCTTTCAAATCTGTATTACTGTTTCAAGTGGTTACAATAATGGGACCGTTCCAATAGCAATAAACAACTCCAAAAACTGCTGCTCTGTCTTTTGAATTGTCGATAATAGTCCTCAAAATGGCATCCATAATCGGGGAAAAATCATGTGACTGAACTACATAAGTAGGGTAACACCAATACACACAACTACTGCATAGACTACTTTTGGGATATATTCTACTAGTTCTAATCTATTGAATTACAATTACAATCATTTTACCAAAGAAGACAGTGGCAGCCATTATAAACTACTAACTACTAACTTCTAGAGTACTATTGTTTAAAGCTGAAAATCATATTCTATTGTGTAAAGAAAGTGTTTTAATTGTTTGAAATTTAACACTAACCACTACTATAAACTACAGACCTTCCCATTTGTCCCTTGGAAACATGATCACATAGGTAGCTTTATTCACTTCTGTAAACAAATTGTTAAACACATCTTGTCTGTCACCATGTAGACATATTAAAGTGTGGTATTGAAGCCTGACTCAGCTCTTCCAGTACATGTCACACCTGGTTTATCCAGCTCTACAGTTGGTCCCATTGTTCCCGTTTTGTGTATGCGCTTTCCCACATAAGAGAGCTACATTTACTCTGCCCCAACACCTGCTCTGTGTGTGAGCTACTGCAGCACATAGTAATTATCTCTGAAGACTGTATGAATATGACTGAGGAACACTGGGAGCATTGCAGACAAACAAACTACTACAAAATACTGAGTCATCAACACAGAAAGAGAAAGAAGAATTCTT